CTGTGCTCTGCTGTCCTTGCCTCAGGCAGTTCTAATCCAACTGAACCCCCACCTTCTGTGTTCTTTGCTTTAGGAAAAAATCGCTGCTCTCTCCTCCCCACTGTCTTTACTTCCCGCTTTTTCTGTGTTCTATTTATGATGCAAAAAATGAACTCTAATCATAGCTGAGAAATGAGAACTGTTAATAGTAGTGTCATTAATATGCCACAGAAGACATGACCTTTATTCCCAGAGACTAGGTTATTTCAGGAAAGAGATCAATAGTCCACTGTCTTTAAATATTAAGAGTATAGGGCTCTCCTGGAGGCTCAGATGGTAAAGAATCTGCCTGCAATGCTGGAGAGCCGGGTTCAATGCTGGAGACCCGGGTTCAGTCCCTCGGTCAGGAAGATCCCCTGGAAAAGGAAATGGCAGCCCACTCCAAAGAGCTGGACATGACTAACTGGCTAACACACAGCGGTTTAGGAAAGGAGGAGATGAACGCAGTTAGAAGGGTGCTGTCAGCCGCAGAGGTGACTGGTAAGCTCCCTAAGGCACTGGGGAATGAGGAAGCGAGGACTCTAGTGGGCCCTGCCTGGAGTTACAGGTTGGATGGGAGAAGCAGGGCTGGTGCGTACGCAGAGGGGCAGGCCTTTGGAGGAACACTGGTCAAGGTAACAGCTAACCCTTGAGTGCCTCATTTTCTGTAACTTTCCCCTCTGCTTTCCAGCTTAGAGAAAATACAGGAATAGTTCAAGAACTCCCATATACATTTTTCTTTTTTTGATGATAGATTAGTCTTGCTTGTTCTAGGACGTCATACAAACGGGCTCATACAGTATGTCCTCGTGTGTTCAGACTCTTTCAGCATAGCGTCTTTGTGATGCAAGGGTGATTGTCATTCCTATTTATTAATGAATTGTATTCCATTGAATAAATACACCAGAATTTGCTCACCTGTTTTTCTGTTGCTAGAGAAGGAATTTGGGTTGTTTTCTGGTTTGGACTGTTAGGAATAAAGCTACTATAGAATTCTTATGAAAGTTTTCTTTTTTTTGTAGGCATACATTTTTATTTCTCTTGGCTAAATACCTAGGGCTGAAAAGTTGAATCTTAGGGCAGATTTATGGATTTAAAGTTGACAATCTTTTTTTTTTTAATGTATAAGAAATTTTTATGTATTAGAAGTTACCAAACTTCAGTTTTTAGACTGGTTGTACCATTTTACACTCTCATCATCTGTGTTTGAGTGTTCTGGTTGCTCCATATCCTGGGCAACCATTGATGTTATTAGTCTTTTAAATTTTAGCTGATCTGGTGTGTGGTAGTAGTGGTTTCTCCCTAATGGCTGACAGTGGTAAGCACTTTTTCACATGCTCATTATCCATTTGTATATCTTGTTCTTGGAGTATCTTTTAATCCTTGTGTCTGTGTATTTTGCCTCTTTATTCCTCAATTGTTAGAGTTTTTTATATATTCTGGGTAATAGTCCTTTACCAGATACATGTTTTGCAAATATTTTTTCCCAGTCTGTGGCTTGCTTATTCATTTTCTTGGTGGTTTAGTCACTCAGTTGAGTCTGACTCTTTATAACCCTGTGGACTGTAGCCCTCCAGTTTCCTCTGTCCATGGGATTCTCCAGGCAAGAATACTGGACTGGGTTGCCATTTCCTTTTCCAGGGGATCTTCCCGACCCAGGGATTGAACCTGGGTCTCCTGTATTGCAGGTGGTGTCCTGCATCACAGGTGAATTCTTAACCAACTAAGCTACCAGGGAAGCTCCTCATTTTCTTGGTGGTTTTAGTGATTTTACCGTTTTAGTGATCAGAAGTTTCTCATTTTGATGAAATCTCATTATTTTTTTGTTTTATGGTATTATTTTCTGTTAAAAAAATAAACTGCAGCACCAGGTTAGGAGAATTGTTTCTTCCAGCTGGATTATGGTTTAAGTCTATGAAGCATCCTTAAATAATTTTTGTATGAAGTATGAGGCAAGGGTTGAGGTTCATTTCATTTTCCCAAATGAATAGAAAGTTGTTCCTACACCATTTGTGAAAAGGCTTTCTTTTCTCATTGAATTATTTTGATGTTTTTGTCAAAAAATCAGTTGCTTGTCAAAGTATTGGTCTATTTCTGGACCCATCTGTTCTGCATTGTTCATCTGTTGATCTTTACAGTAATACCACACTGTCTTGATTGCTTTAGCTCTTTAGTAATTCTTGAAGTCAATTATTTTTCTTTTTTTCAAGATTGTGTGGCTATTTTAGGCCCTTAGCATTGCCATGTGAATTTTAGAACCAGCTTGTCAAATCTTATTTTTTATTGATAAATTAGTTATTAAATATCCACTGGATGGTGTATGTATGGCTGGATTCCTTTGCTGTCCACCTGAGACTGTCAGAACGGTGTTTGTTAATCAGCCATACCCCAGTACAAAATAAAACGTTTAAGAAAATACCTGCTGGGATTATGATTGAGAGTATTAAGCCTGTATATCAAATTTGGGTAAATGGACATCCTCACAGTCTCAGGTCTTGCAATCCATGAACATGGTGCATCTTTCTGGCTGGCAGTAGACTTAACTCTTTAGATGGATTATTATTGTTGGGATAATACATAAAAGTGCTTAGCGTGGCATTTATAATGAGCCATCCTCCAATGTTACTATTTACTGTTAGTTCCATTAATCACACAGCTTTATAAAGTACTTACTGTTCGAATCTCATTTTGATCAGCTTGGAGCTTGACCATGGTCACACTGCTAGTAAATGCCTGGGCAGGGTTTGAAATGAAGTCCTTACGACTCTTAGATCTTGTGCTTGTAAGTACATGTCCTGGAAGCCAAGGGTAGTGAGCCTTGTGTTGTATTTCTCTGCGGTTTGGGGGTGGCCTTTATGTGTTGGCAGGTTAAGGTTAGACAGGATCCAACAACAGAGTTTATTCCCAATGGTTTACGTGTTGCAGGAGTTTAATGAGGGTGTGTTGGCTCACAGTCTCCCTGGAGAGCTGTAGCTTCTCCCGTGAGAGCATCACCCTGTCACACCAGGAGCTGACCCCAGAGCGCTGCCCGTGCCCTGGCCCCATCCGTCAAGGCAGCTTTCCCTTCTCTGCCCCCGCCTGCTGCTCACATTGACCCAGGTGAGCAGGGACGCACCCCAGCCAGGAGCCAGGCCACTCATCCCCAGTCACAGGAGGGCTTGGGTGGCAGGCAGGGACCCCAGGGGATCAGCCATTGTTGGGGGGCTGCAGCTGGTTCCCCAGCACGTCTGGTCTGTCCATTCATACTTTCTACTGTGTTGGTAGTAAAATGAAAACAAAGCCTCTTGAGAATCTAAACCCACATTATCCATTCTCAGCTAGTATTTAAACCAATGGGTGATCCTGTTTCCCTGATTTCATATCCATTTTAATCTGTCGTAACATGTCATGTAGACACATAACACGGTCTGGGTTGTGTTTCTGCCGCTTCCCTGCTATGTGGCCTCAGAGAGGGTGCTGTTCATCTCTCTGCTTTCTCAGCTATGAGCTCAGAGAAGCACAGTGTCTAATGAGTAGTCCTGTTCTCAGCTGTTCTTTTAAGCTGCTGTGCACACAGTGCCTACCTCACGCCTGGTGTACAGGAAACACGCAGAAGCGTGACCCGTTTCACGCACACTCACCGTCACACCTGCGTCCTGTGTGCAGACTGCTTACATGGAGGGAGAGCTTCCCCGTGTTCCGTCTCAGAGGCAGAAGCGCTTGCTGGGGTCGGTGGGGAGAGTGCTGACCGTGAAGACGCCACAGTGTCTCCAGGGGGGATGTCTGGTGATGACGGACGAGCAGCGGTCCTCGCTTCCTGGAGAGATTTCATGTTTACTAACTTGGACGGATGCCACTTAGCTGTCGCTGGCTGTGGTGCCTTGGAGTCCACTTTCTGCTGTGGCCCGAGGACCGGCCAGCAGTCCCCCGCATGGCTCTGCGGTGACACGGGTCTGAGCAGGGCCACATCTGCTGGGAAGGATGGCATAGCCTCGCCTCCCCCGAGGCCTCGCTGGAGAAGCCGGCGAGGAGGGACCTGGGCTGCCCCGTCCTTGGACCGGACCCACTGATGTGCCCCGCGGAGGTGGAGCCGCACTGCCTGACGGGACTCCTCTCAGAGCCCGTGTCCTGCCTATATGAGGACACTGTGCATAGTTCCCAGAACCGGACTCTGGCTCCCAAGGCAGCTCAGCTTTGGCTTTCTCTTGTCCTGTGAATGGAACGGCGTGGGGTCAGAGAGCTTATGCTCTTCCTGGCTCTCCTCCCGCTGCTGGCCCGTGACTCACATCTCACGCTCGGACAGGTGTGGCCTCTGCGAGTGAAGGCCCGTGACCCTGTCATGGGTGATGCAGCCTTAACGGGATGAGTTACATTGGGAGCAGGAGGGTCAGCGGCCCCGCGGGCCCCAGGTATGCGTGCAGCCCCACCGTGACAGCCCCGGCGGTCAGGCTGCTCATAGGCCGCTCAGCGCTGGTCTGCGTGGCCCGGGATTTCTGCTTGTTTCTCCGCTTGTGAGGACATGCTGTGCGGGGCCTCCTTCCCTGACCGCGTCCATGGTCACCTGCTCTCCCTGCTCCTTTCTCTGGACGTCTATCTCTCCCTCACACCTAATGCCCTTTCTCTGCACTTTCTGGCCCCTGTTTTCTTAAGCTCCACTGCTCTGTTTCCCCACTTTCCTTGCTGTTAGGTTTTATCAGATCAGTGAAACCCCTGGTGATCTCTCAGCAGCCTCTCCATGGTGACAGGGTGCTGTCTGGGTTCACCCCAGGGGTCTGCCCGTCTCCCTGGTGATACACGCTCATTTCTCTGTCTTGGGAATGCGGGTGCAGATGGTGGTGCCCTGACCTCAGCCAGATGCTGGGATCTCTCTTTCCTTCCATCCCCAAACCCAGCTCTTAGATCCACGAGGCTTCCTTATAGTGGCTGACCCGAGGAATAGTGGCTGACCTGTCGTCCTGTGTTGGTTGGTATGTAGTAATTTTAAAAATCTTCAATCTTTTCAGGATGCCTTGAAAATGAATACATGAAGCTCAGTGTGATAAGTTTAAAAAATAACACAGAACACCTACCTCTTATTGGAAAAGTTGGCCTTTCTTGGAAAACTAATAGTTTTGATGGCTGTATAAAGGTAATTTTTTTTCTTAAAGTACTTGGTCTCTGTATCATTAACGTGTCTGATGATGTGTATGTGTGATGCTGCTTTCAAAGTCCTAGATTGATTGTTCTGGTGTCGGAAGAGTTATGCACGTCTTCTTACCATTGACCATCAGTTGATTGACTAATCCAATGCTTACTGAGTGCCTTTTATTTTCCACTGAGCGAGGTGGGTGGGTGGCACTCAGCACCATTTCTGAGCGGTGTTGATTGCACCCCCGCATGCATTCCCTCGAAGCCCTTTTGGCTGTTTGTTTTGTGGAGAAAGAGTGGAGCTATAGGTGGAGCTATACTCCACCAGGCAAGTCGCATTTATTCAAAAACGTCTTACTCATACACCCATTTAAAGTATATTGCAGTTCCGTTCCAGCATACAGATATTTCCTTGAACAGTTAAATCAGAATTTGCCTCTGTCACAAACCAGCCACACGGCGGGGAGGCTTGATGTGGCTGGGGGTTGGTCCGGGGTGGCGGAGGAGGGTGGTTCTTGCAAAGTCTGGCTCCTCTTGTGACCCCTGTGCCTGTGGGTGCCCTGGTTCTCACTCCTTTCCTTCTGTATTTTGTGGGATGAACTGGATTTCCATGGTACGGTTCTGCTGTGGATGCAGAGGCCTCCAGTGAGCTGGCTTTATCCTGCCTAGGAGCATGGAAGCCTCGTCACAGGGGTGAGGGGTGATGACTGAGGCCAAGAGCCGTGTTGTCGTCAAGCATGAAGACCACCTCATTATCACTAAGGCGTCTCCCTTGACCCACTTGCTCTTTGCTGTGATGAGAGGTTTTATTAATTGTACGTGTAAACAGGTATTTAAGCTTCGGCAAAGATCTGTCATACACAAAAGAATATTGTTTCATTTCTTCAGGAGCGCAGACCAGGCTTTTTAAAATGGGTTCAGATGAGTCTTATAGAAACATGTATGAGAATGTTGAAATCACAGTCGATCTTGAGGACCAGGAAAGGCAGGACAGCAACACGGCAGACTTAAAGGGTCAGGAAGTCCACACACACTGCACGTGCTGTTCCCTCCTCCTGTAATTTTGTTCTCTTTCTCCCTCCTCTTTCATATAATCCTTCATGACGAGGCTTCAAAGTCAGGTCCAACTGGGATTGTTATCCTTGCCACTTATGAATATTTGTGTTTATTTTGTAGAGTTGCTCTATAATGGACTTAACTCTTTTGGAGGAGTACGGGAAACCCTTCTGGTGTTTCAGCTCTCCGGTTTGCATGAGATGCTGTCCCGGGCCCTCTGACGGCCCTCATTTCTTGGGGGAGGCATACTATGTGGACTACTCGGATTCGGAAGGCAGGCTGCACATGGAGCTGGTGTGGATCGAAGACACGGAGGAGTACTTCATCGTCAGCCTGGCTCTCTACCTGCGGTTGGCAAAAATAAACCAGTGGTTTGGGACAAAATACTAGCAGCAGCAATCGGTGGCAAATTATTATTGCTGTTTGTTTTCGTTGGACTAACTGGTTTTGTTCTTGGTGTTTGTCTTGAGTTAAAATAAAGCACTGGTCTGTTTGGTGTTGTCTTATTTCACATTATAAATTATGATTTGTGGGTCATTTTAAAGTTAACATTTAGAAGATTAAGTTAAATTTTAAAAACATGAAAGTAGCACATCACAGTGGAAATTCATATAAAATAAAAAAGGGAAATATTTACTCTTCTCTTGCCCTTGCACTTTAAAATACAAGAAAATGGATGAGACTGGAAACTAGTAAGTTTTCTCTTGAGGGTGTGTGTGTGTGTGTGTGTGTAGAATAAAGAGCATGTGACCTGATCTTTATAAAGGCACTGTGTGTGGGTGTGTGTTGGGTAAAGATCATGTGACCATTGTATGTATGTGTGTGTGTGTGTGTGGGTGTGTGTGTGTTGGGTAAAGGTCATGTGACCACTGTATGTGTGTGTGTGTGTGTGTGGGGTGTGTATTGAGTAAAGATCATGTGACCATTGTATGTATGTGTGGGTGTGTGTGTGTTGGGTAAAGGTCATGTGACCACTGTGTGTGTGTGTGTGTTCATGTGACCATTGTATGTATGTGGGTGTGTGGGAGGTGTGTATTGAGTAAAGATCATGTGACCATTGTATGTGTGTGTGGGGGGAGGTTTGTGTTGGGTAAAGGTCATGTGACCACTGTGTGTGTGTGTGTGTGTGTGTGTTGAGTAAAGATCATGTGACCATTGTATGTATGTGTGGGTGTGTGTGTGTTGGGTAAAGGTCATGTGACCACTGTGTGTGTGTGTGTGTGTTCATGTGACCATTGTATGTATGTGGGTGTGTGGGGGGTGTGTATTGAGTAAAGATCATGTGACCATTGTATGTGTGTGTGGGGGAGGTTTGTGTTGGGTAAAGGTCATGTGACCACTGTAAGTATGTGTGTGTGTGTGTGTGTTGAGTAAAGATCATGTGACCATTGTATGTGTGTGTGTGGGGTGGTTTGTGTTGGGTAAAGGTCATGTGACCATTGTATGTATGTATATATGTGGGTGTTGTGTGTGGGGGGGTGTGTTGGGTAAAGATCATGTGACCACTGTATGTGTGTGTGGGTGTGGGTTTGTGTGTGTTGGGTAAAGATCATGTGCCCACTATGTATGTGTGTGGGTGTGGGGTGTGTGTTGGGTAAAGATCATGTGACCACTATGTATGTGTATGTGTGTGGGTGTGTGTTGGGTAAAGATCATGTGACCACTGTGTGTGTGGTGTAAAGATCATGTGACCACTCTATATGTATGTGTGTGAGTGTGTGTTGGGTAAAGATCATGTGACCACTCTCAATGTATGTGTGTGTGTGCACCTTGGATAAAGACCATGTGACCACTCTATGTGTGTATGGGGGTGTGTGTTGGATAAAGATCACATGACCACTCTATGTATGTGGGTGTGTGGGGGTGTGTGTTGGATGAAGATCATGTGATCACTGTGTGTATGTGTGGGTGTGTGTGTCTGTGTATTGGGTAAAGATCATGTGATCACTGTGTGTGTATATTGGATACAGAGGATTTTTTCTTTATAGGTTAGAACCCCAAATAAGTAAATACATTTAAATCTGAACTTCATGGTATTCATTAGGATTAGAAAGTGCTGTATTCATAGCATTTAGCAGCCACATTAGTATTCAATAAAGGAAAGTAAAATAGACAATCTGCTTCACAAGGAAAGATGCATGTGTAATCATCCGAAGAAATTGTCATTCCTTAGAAGAGAGAAGTGTGGCGCACATGCCGTTCAGACAGCAGCTCTGCATCTGTGGTGTTGGAAGTAGGTCGGGCTGGAGAAGAGGGCCGCTCTCCTTTCCCCAGCTGGACGGCACCAGGATGGAACGGGAAGCCGGGTGGTTGATGGCAGCACCGTGAGGGCTCACAGTTACAGCACTTGTCTGCATCACAGCCGGCTGGTCTGTGAGTGCACCCCAGGCTTCATCCATCCTCGGCTGTTTGCTGCGTCCGTGGAAACTACTCTAAGGGGCATACCAGCAGCAGGGGGAGCTAGCTGGAGGCAGGGGTTGGTGGGTGAGCGAGTCCTTCCCATCTGAGCTAACGTTGGAAGGGAAGGTTAGAGGGAGGGGCCGGTGAGGCATTGACAGTCAAGGCGTCTCATCAAAGCCCTGTGCTCACCACCAAGTGAGGCTGGAAGACTCACCCTTGGCCCCGCTTGCCCTCTCATGGGTCTGAGATAATGTCCAGCTTTGGGCAGCTCCTTCCTCTCGTTTATCCCCATCTTTCTAAGTAAAGATCTGTAGCTGATTCTGGTTTTGTTGGTTTTAGCATCTATTGACTTATGGTCAATAAAATCTCTCTCTCTTACAGCAGCCATCTCCCCTTTTGCATCATACCAGATAATTCCTGCAAGGTAAAGTCCGTTGTTGTGATTTGTTACTATGTAATATTGTTCCTGGTGAGGCTTCTCTCTTCTACAACCTTTTATTTTCTTGGATTAGTAATTGCCTTCTTTTGTTGATTTGCATGGGTTTTCAATGAACCTCAAGTTTTCCTTAAAGGTCTCTCCAGTGTTGCATGTGTTGGCCAGTTTTTCAGTGTATCCCACCTCCTCTCCCACCCACACAGGCTTAAATATATCAAATACTCTCTAAATTCTACTGTGTCTTCCCACTAGGCTCGTCCCGAGTTCCGCCTCTGCTTCAATCTAAACTTCTCTGTCCAGCCCTCCTGGACACCCCGCATCCTGAGAAGTCTCCTGTGTGCATCCTGTCTGTGGAGTCTTGTCTTCATTCTTGATTTAAAGTTGACCCTTGAATAGCGCCTGTGTGGACCCTCTGCATAGTTGGAAATTGGATTATAGTATAAAGTTGGCCCTCCCCGTCCTGGCTTCCTCAGAATCTGCTCACTCACCCAACCTCAGATCGAGCAGCGCATAGTAGTAACTGTTGGAAAAAGCCCGAGTGTCCGTGGACCCACACAGTTCAGACCCACGTTGTTCAGGGTCAGCTGTACACCTGCTCTTCAATGGCACAGGTTTTCCGGTAGGTCTCGAAGGAAGTGTCACAGGAGATGCGTTTGAGGTCCATGAGTTTCTGAAAACCATCTGATAGTTTAACTGGGGACAAGTTGTAGGAGGTAAAATGTCTTCTCTTAGAACTTTGAAGACAGCTTTTCTTGAGCATTTATCCTGTGGTTGTCCATGAGTATCTAATGCCATTTGGGTGGATCTTCCTTTGTGTATGATCTGTAGTTTTCTTTCTGGAAACTTTTGGAATTTATGCTCCGTGTTTTGAAATCTCAAGATAATGTGATTGAAGTAGGTCTTTATCCTTCATTATGGGTCATTTTAATCTCAGAATTTGTGCACTTCAGTTATGTGTTAAAAATGTCAATTATTTTCTCTGTCCTATTTTTCCGTTCCTTTTATTAATCTACTGTCATCCTTTCCGGGTGGATCCTCTGAAGCTTCTTATCTTTTCCACCTTGTAGCTCTTAGTCCTTTGTTTTGCTTTCTGTAACAGTGTCTTGGTTTTCTTTTTCAGCCCTTCTGTTTAATCTTTTTTTTTTATTGTGATGACCAGCTTTATACTGTATACAAATTCCTTTTCTAGTTCCATAGCTGCTTCGCAAGTGCAGTCTTTCTCTAAGGTGGCTGGCAGACTCTCTGTGAAGGGCCCAGTGGTGGCTTCGGCGTTTGTGGAGCATATGGTGTCTGCTGCATCGACTCAGTGGTGCGACCGAGCGTGAAGTCAGCTCCGGGCCGCCCGCAGGGGAGGGGCCCGTGTTCTGCGGAGCCTTGATGTACCTGAGCAGGTGTAAGTTGAATTGTCCCTAGGCTGCAGCCTGCAAGCCTGCACACAGGTTCTAGGGTTATCAATTTCAGTTTTCAAAACAGTTTCCAGCTTCACTCTTTGGCAAAATCACAGCAAGACTCATCAGTCAGTGCTGAGTTTGTGGGTGACACTGTGATGAGAAGCGAGGTACTCACAGAGTCTTGGAGGAGAGGATGAGTCCACAGTGGAGGAAGCCGGAAAGACCACACCTGGACCCAGTCTCCTGTCGCCCCCTCACCCCCCGCCCCCCTCCCCGCTGTTCTGCTGCACTGTGGCTGGGTGCTCTGCCCAGAGGAAAACCTTTGCACTCCGCCAGGGCCCCTGCAAGTGCAGCCTCTTCACCCCACCTGGGCTGCTCGGACCCCCCTTCCCCCACCTCCCCAGGTGCCTGCCATTCTGGACCCTACATCATGGCTGTAGAAATGGACATGGGGGATGGCGGATTTCTCAAGGTTTAACATGCAAACCTGTATTAGTTCTGTACATCATGGATGTCCACAGATATGCCCAGTGTAAATAATTTAGCCCTATTGGGGACTGGCCCATCTTAGTATTACATGCATTGAGATTACATTAACAGCCATTAAAAAAAAAGCATTTACTAATCATTACTGCTTTGTCAGAGAGAAAGTCTTTTTGTCTGCAGAGCAAGAGGATTTATTATGCTGGAATATTTTAAATATAAAGAGGAATAAGAAGCAGGGCTCATGGAGCTCAATCAATTCAAGTGAAGTAACAGGTACAAACTCTTCACTATGCAGTTGGCAAAGGAATCAAGCGTGAGTTACATGCAGAGAAATGTACCTGCCACGGGCGTGCAGTTGACGGGATATACTTTTATTTCAAGTGTACTCTGTGTAAAATTTTGTCTGATTCAAAATCAGACCAAAGATCTGACTGACCTTGTTTACTCGCTCAGTCGTGTCGGACTCTTTGCGACTCCATGGACTGCAGCACGCCAGGCCTGCTTCCCTGTCCTTCACCATCTCCCTGAGTTTGCTCAAACTCATGTCCATTGAGTTGGTGATGCTATCCAACCATCTCACCCCCTGTCACCCGCTTCTCCTCCTGCCTTCAATCTTTCCCAGCATCAGGGTCTTTTCTAATCAGTTGGCTCTTTGCATCAGGTGGCCATTCAGGGTTGATTTCCTTTAGGACTGACTGGTTTGATGTCCTTGCTGTCCAAGGGACTCTCAGGAGTCTTCCCCAGCACCACAGTTTAAAAGCATCAATTCTTCGACTGACCTTGGCAAAGATGGATTTTATAGTGACTTGATAGTTATCTATTGTTCTTATTAACATCTCTTTATGAGTCTAATGATTATAATTGCTGCGGAAAGAAAATGCTCACACAGGAAGATCACTGTGTGCAAAGTGTTTTTCCAGTTTGTAAAGAAAAGTGCCTTTAAAAACTTCAGGGACATGTTGATCCTACACACCGGGTACATTTTGTCTGTGGAATAATAGAGCATCCAGCTTTAGCATAGGGCATCGTCTGTGGTCTCCTGGGGCTTCAAGGAATAACAGCTGGATTTTCTATGAGCTCCTGCTAGGCATGTCCTGGGCTGTGGACACCCCTGGGGCTGAAAGAGGGAGCGTAGCATGCCCAGAGGAACGGGGTGGGGGTGGTGGTGCTAGAACATGGAGGTGCCATCCAGGCGACTCAGCGGAGCATCTGCCACAGCCCAGAGGTCGGGAGAGGAGCGGACTGGTCCGGGGCCTCGATGGGCTAACGGGATAGCTACAGAGGGGCCCTGCCTCTGGCGGAGCGTGAGGACCAGGCCTCAGGGGCCTCGGGCTTGCACATCCTCCATTTCAGGTCCACGTGAAATGATTCTTTGCTCTGGAAAAGGACCCTCAGGATGAGTGCCTGTTCTGAGAACTGTGGAGAAACTGGGGAGTGCTCCCGGAACATCGGCTCTCAGAGTCTTCCCGAATTGGCCCCGCCTTAGCCCCGACCACTGGCCTGAGTTACTCTCTGACTTCTCTCTCCAGCCTCGGGGGGACACAGTGAACCACTGTGGGACCTGCCCTGAAGGCAAATGTGCGTGTTTGCTGATTGACATAGAGTTATGTCAGAGTGAAATAGGTGTACAAAATATATTAATTGTAAATGTCTGCTTCAGGAAAGTGTCTACGGACTTGAGAAGAAACACCTGTGATCACTCCCTGACTTATGCTGCCTGGGGAGAAACATTCACCAAGATTAATAATAAAAAGCTTTCACTAAAGATAGGGAGCTTGTGTACCAGGCACTGTGCAACAAACTTTACCTGTAGCTTTTTAAAAAACCTGTGGGGCAGATGGTACGATGATGACCTCATATGATGAGGAGCCGAGGCTCAGAGGGTAAATACCCACAGGTACATAAAGCCATGACTCGCCCCTGTCTGAGCTGGCGCCCTAACTGGTGCTGTGTACGTGTTGTATGTTATACCACATGTCCTGTGGCTCTGGGAGGCAGAAGGACCATTGGGGACATGTAAGACCTGAGAAAATGTCACCAGGCTCCCCCGTTCTTGGGATTCTCCAGGCAGAACACTGGAGTGGGTTGCCATTTTCTTCTCCAATGCATGAAAGTGAAGTAGCTCAGTCATGTCCAACTCTTTGCGACCACATGGACTGCAGCCTACCAGGCTTCTCCGTCCATGGGATTTTCCAGGCAAGAGTACTGGAGTGGGTTGCCATTGCCTTTTCTGAGGTAGTTAGCATCATGTAAATAAATACATATAATGAAGCCATTTCTGCCTAATCCAAGGATACGGCTGTTTAAAAAGTTGCGCCTTTCCTGAAGCAGACATTTAAAACAATGTATTTTGTACACCCATTTCATGCCTTGGAAAAAAAGTTATGACCAACCTAGACAGCCAACAAATGTCCATCTAGTCAAAGCTATGGTTTTTCCAGTAGTCATGTATAGATGTGAGAGTTGGACTATAAAGAACATAAAGAACGCTGAGCACCGAAGAATTGATGCTTTTGAACTGTGGTGTTGGAGAAGACTCTTGAGAGTCCTTTGGACCTCAAGGGGAACCAATCAGTCCATCCTAAAGGAAATCAGTCTTAAATGTTGGAAGGACTGATGCTGAAGCTGAAGCTCCAAAATTTTGGCTACCTGATGCGAAGAACTGACTCATTTAAAAAGACCCTGATGCTGGGAAAGATTGAAGGCAGGAGGAGAAGGGGACAACAAAGGATGAGATGGTTGAATGGCATCACCAGTTCAATGGAGATGAGTTTGAGCAAACTCCAGGAGTTGGTGATGGACAGGGAGGCCTGGACCTGCAGTCCATGGGATGGCAAAGAGTGGGACACAACTAGGGAACTGAACTGAACTGATGCCTGAAATCAGTGAAACCAGTACATACCAATAGAAAGACTGGGCATAACTCAGTCACTGTGAAGAAGCCAGGGAGGCAGGGTCTGCTCTACCACGAGGAAGGCTTGGTGTAAAGCCAGGAGGTATGAGGCTGCCCCTTGGTGCAAGGCAAGAACAGACAAATGCAGCAGAAGACAGAACTCAAGAGATACGTTTGATGGTGCAGGTGGCTCAGCGCAGAGGAGAATAGTGGCTTTAACAGCTGATGCTGGGACAACTAGGTGGCTGTCCGGAAGCAAAAAAAGTGGACCCACCACACCACACCCAGAAACACATCCCTGCTAGACTGTAGATGAAAATGTGAATAGTAAAATAAGAAAGCTTCTGGGAGACAGTATGAGGAGCTTCCCTGGTGGCTCAGTGGTAAAGAATCCACCTGCCAAGGAAAGGGACTTGGGTTGGATCTCTGGGTTGGGAAGAGATCCTCCTCTGGAGGAGGGCATGGCAACCCACTCCAGTATTCTTGCCTGGAGAATCCCATGGACAGAGGAGACTGGCCGGCTACAGTTCATGGGGTTGCAAAAGGGTCAGATACAACTTAGTGGCTAGACAACAGCAACGAAAACCACTATTTTTAAAAAGACAGCCTGGGCAGTATTTCCGTGTGTTGAGGTCCCTGACAGGCACTGGACTCAGGCACCCTTCTGAACTCTTTTAGAAACACCATCCTCATTGTCAAGGGAACACAGTCTCTTTTCTGATAACTCTTGCTGAGTATCCCTCCCCGTGTCGTGCCGACGCCTGCCTCTGAGTACCTGTGGAGAAGAGAAATGTCACCCATTGGCCGTAGTCCCCTCCCCTACTCGAGATGCTCAGAGTCAGCCTGATTCCCGCTGGGTCCTCCTGGGGTGGCTTTTACAGGGAAGCTGCTGCGGGTCTCAAAGCATCAACCAAAGAAAGTTGAGGAGTAATCTGAGCTACTAAGGGGATTTCACTCATGGATGATTATGCCCATGAGAAAAAAGGGAAGTCTGTTTATATAATGTATGCATAAACAAAGCAGAGTATCTGGACTTGACCATTTCAGCTGCAGTGATGTTTTGATTGCATACGTTATTAGGAAAAATTCAGACTTGGTAGAAATAGAAAACCCAAAATATGACTGATAGTAGCTAAATTTTCACATAAGAACATTAGACTTGGAAGAAATAATGAGCTTGTAAGAAAATGCTTAGTGGTGAAAAAAAAAAGTTAATTTGTTAAATTCGATAGGGACCCCCAAAAAATCAAGAAATTAAATTTGTGCAGTGAAATATGTATGGAAAGAGATTGCTGTTGATGAAAGTGAAAAAATGCACACAGTTTGCTTGGGTGCTCTAGAAAGCTGATCAAAGGATTATGCTGGTTTAATGGCATTTAATGTTGCTAAATTCTAAGGGAAATGTCTTTATTGGTGAATAGAGTCTAAACATCCTCAGGGTTAAAATGATGGGGTGAAAACATTCTATATTGATTTAAAGGGTTGAGTACCTCTTCACTGCAGCATGCTGTTAAATTCTGATGCCACTGGACTATGGAGCCTGCAATAATAATTATTTGATCTTTTATCTACACACAGTCTACACCCCAGTGGTCGTCTGTTGCCCCTCGTTCTTGTGCTTTTCCAATGCACATTGACCTCTTACCTCCGGTTAGGGCAGAAGAAATTGCAGTTGTCATGAAACAAGATACTATCTCGAACAGATTTACAAACGCCATCCACCCATTTTCCCAGAATGAGATCCTTTGTGTGAAAAGATTCTGTTGGCCATGGTTCCACTGCTGAATTGCTCATTTGCCCCATGATCTCCATTCTGCTTAAGTGGAGTGAACTGTCAGGTGAGAGAGGTTTGTTTCTATAGCAGCTCAGTGACCAAGCTGATGCTTCAGTTCACGACGTGCCCTTCATGCGGCCCCGACAGGTTGGCCTGATGCCAGGTTGTCAGCTGGACACGCTCTTCTCTCTTGCACAAGAAGATGATTATGGTACATTTATAACTACTTTAACAATGTTTTAAACAATTATTTTATTTATTCTTGGCCATGCTGGGTGTTCGTTGCTGCAGGCGAGTTTTCTCTAGTTGCAGAAAGGCGGGGCTACTATGCACATGCGGAGTGCTGACTTCCCTTCTTGTGGAGCACAGACTCTAGAGCCAGAGGCCTCGGTAGTTGGGGCCCACAGGCTTAGCTGCTCCGTGGCACGTGGGATCTTCCCGGACCAGGGATCAAACCCGTGTCCCCTGTATTGGTGGGTGGATTCTTAACCACTAGACAGACCACCAGGGGAGTCCTATAACTACCATTTAAAGAGATTCTCAAAGCTTTCTGTAGGAAAAAGTTGCCAGCTAGAGAAACTTTGTCTCAGAGGGGAGCAAAAATGGAAAACCTTCCACACTGGTATTAGGAAAAGGTTAAAAGTTTCATTCTGGAGGCAGAGAGCAGCGTGATGTCATCTCACGGGTTTATGTCACCGTTGCATTTATTCCCCAAGGGCGTTGTTACATTAGGAAGTGTAACCATGCATCTTCATCACTGTGATTTATGTTAAAACCTAATCGCAACAGGGAACATTACTTCTGTGGGTGGCGTGTCCCCCCGCCAATCTGTGGATGCTTGGGCCTTGGAGGAATTTATTCCCTTAATGTTCTGTTTGGGACTGAAACCTGGCCCCATGTCAGGAGTTGAGTATGGCTCCTTGGACAGAATACTGAGTGAAAGGGGAAGTGTTAGTCGCTCAGTCGTGTCTGACTCTTTGTGACCTCATGGATTGTAGCCCACCAGGCTCCTCTGTCCATGGAATTCTCCGCACTAGAATACTGGAGTGGGTTGCCATCCCCTTCTCCACGGGATCCTTCCGACCCAGGAATCAAACCTTCACTCTTACGTCTCCTGCATTGACAAGTGGGTTCTTTACCACTAATGCCATATGGGATAATTTTCTGGGGAAGTATTTCCTGAGAGCTCTGAGCTGTAGATCAAGGCCACCAGGGATTCACCTGCAGTGTAAAGTCTGACAGATCACCAGGTGGTGAGTGGAGGAATCCTAATGGACCTTAGAAAGTCTCGGGGATGATAGGGTCCAGTGGTGAGAAACACAGGAGAGGCCGCAGCTGCGATAGAGGAGAGAGACCTGCTCCTGTTCAGACTGCCCCTCGCCCAAGTCATTCCACTCACCACAACGAATACTTAGTGCAGAGCGGCTACAACTCATTACTTGCCTCTTTGCAGTTTACTCCACTGCAGCCTGGAATGAAATTTGTCTGTGATTCAACAGTAATTTCTCTGTTTTCACCCTTCCACGTCTGTTTAACTCAAAGATAAGGCTGGAATTCTCAGAGCTCGAATGAACGTTCCCAGACAGCTTTCAATGAGCCAGTCGAAAACTCCCCAGGAACGAAAGACAGGCTCCTAGCTCTGTTCTCCGCTTGCTGAACTGGAATCTTAGTGAAGTTGTTCCCTGGGAGGCAGTCAGCGATGCCCACCTTGGGATCGGAAATCCGATATATATATAACACGCAGCTGCAGATGGCGCTGAGCCTGCCGCGTCATTCTCTCCTTCCTCCTCAGCCACCGAACCAGGAGAACTGGAGAGGGAGGCATCAGCCGTGTGGACGAGGGAGGCAGAAGGCAGCTGAGAACGGCCCATTTCAGGAAGTTGAGAGCATCGTGACGGCGCTGCGGCTGCAATGTTCTCGGGAACCATCTGGGCCCCAGCGTGCACATGGAGGCTGTTGTATCCTGGTTCCAACTCTGTGGTTCACCTTCAGAATGACCTTGAGGATGGCATCTAGAAGAGGATGCTGACTGGGAGAGCGCCCTCCTAAAGCCTGCAGACAGGACACGTGGAGCTGATGAAACCTCCAGACTTCCTTAAAGTTTGCCAAGGGCAAGATACATGATGATGTCATCCCTTACAGAGCAGGCAGTCAACGAATGTCCAGTCCAAGTGCATTTGTAGAAGTGAATGCAATTACCATCCTTTCCCTGCTTGAATCAAGCAATTAAACCACTAATATCCATTAGAAAAGCGGTGCTTTGTTTATGGGATGAAGCAAGCTATTTTTAGAAGCAAATGAATGCTGGAGATTGCGCTCCCAGCACATTTTGTGGCCACGTGTGTCCAGAGGAGTTAATGGCTTCGTTTTGGGGAATGTGGCTTTTGTGAAATTCCTCAGCCAGAGCTGGTCTTTGGAAGATGTACATAGCTGGGATGAAATTTTCCTATGAAACATTGGGATGAGTCCCGTTTTCTACACCTGGGAACCTTAACAGCTGATGCGCCCCCACTCCGGTCACCTGCAGAACTGTCCTACTGTCTATTAATACCAGACTGGGCAGGAGATGGAGAAGAGATTGTGAACCTGACAGACTGTCGGTGTGTAAGACGTAAAGAAGGAATCGGTAGTTAAAAGCTGACCTCTGAGTTTGCTGTTTTCACTTATTTTTCTCTACAGCTTAACACACAAGATCAACCGAGATCATGTGCACGGCGCGCTCAGTGGTGTCTGACTCAGTGCAGTCCCAGGGGCTGCAGCCCGCCAGGCTCCTCTGTCCTTGGGATTCTCCAGGCAGGAGTGCTGGAGTGGGTTATGGTGCCCTCCTCCAGGGGATCTTCCCGACCCAGGGATCAAACCCCTGTCTTTTATGTCTCCTTCTGGCAGGCGGGTTCTTTGCCACTGCACCACCTGGGAAGCTCCTTTCCTGCACAGAAGTACGTTTTAAACAAACCTGACTTGGGAAACACTAGACTGTGAAGTAGATACATTAGGGTGAGATCTTTTTGCCTGGTGAGGTGCTTTTTCACATTATAAAAGAATTCTCAAACATTTGACTGTTTTTCCTCCCCAAATTGAAATAGACTTTTTAGATTGCTATGGATTATAAAACAAATAAACACTTTTGGTAAGAACTTTTAAAAGTACACAGCAAAGTACAAACAGGAAAATAAAAATCACCCTCAAATGGGCAGGTACAGAAAACAATAGCAATGAAAAAGCAGAAGTACCAATATGACAGAAACTCACAAATATGAGAACATTAGGAACTAATCTAGTTCAATAGAAAAGTTTTTAGAAAAATATAGCAAAAATTTGTTCAATAAGAAATGGAGCATGTGAATAGAATGTAATCATTAAAAATTCAATCAGTAATCAAAACCCCATATATGTTTTTTTAAAAAAAACAGCAAAGTTCAAACTATTTAAATCTGCTTTTTTGCATTATATTCAAGGACCAGAGAGTACCACTAGCTGGCAACAGGATGTGCTGGAGCATATGAAGACAGAGAATGCTGTCCAATTCATTCTTAAACAATTAAAAGAATTTTTAAAATTGTAAATTGTAGCAACATATAGAAATTGCATGAAGGAAAAATGCATGGACTGATAATTACTATAATTCAAAATCGTGACTGACGCTCACCCAATATTGCCACAGCCCCTGAGTCCTCAGTGCATTTCCCATCAAAACACCTTCTCTTTTCCCTAAAGATAACCACTGTCCTGACTTTAGGTTACCACATTCTTATTTGTCCTCATACTTTAATAATCTAAACATGCATTGCTAAATGCTTTAGTTTTGTCCATTTGTAAACTTCATGTGCATGTTTTGGGTGGAGGTCCAAGGCATGCCAGTAGGACTGGAAAAGGGAAAAAATGAATAAGGATTAGAAAGAAGTAATCAAGCTGTTATTGGTAAATGATATGACTTTCTACGTCAAAAACCAACACTAACCCACTGAGAAGTTATTAAAAGTAGAAACTTCATTAAGGCTTCTGGAAAAATATCTGTGTGTAAAAATCAACTTAATTCCTTTAAATATCAACAATCAGAAAGTTTAATTAAATAATGCTTTATTGTAATTGCCCCCCAAATCCACCCAAATAAAAGCCAACTATTTGGTACTTGGGGAAAACACCCAACCAAGGATATGTTAGACCTTTCTGGAAAAGTCTTACAGCTCTCTCAAAAGACATCAATAGAAATGTAAATAAATAGAGAGTTATCACTTTTATACACAGAAAGACTGACTCTTAATAATGTCAGTTCCCACTAAATTAAGCTATAAATTCAATACCATTGAAATCTAATTGCAAGAAAAAAAGTTTTGCTTTATAAGCTAATTAAAAAGCCATGTGGAAAACTGTAAGTTTAAGAATGGAGAAGACAAGTCTGAAGAAGCAGGTAGCAGGAGATGCTTTGAAGATTTATTTTGTAGCTACAGTAATTAAAACTGTGGGAACTAGCTCAAGGGCAAAACCTTGATTTATAAACACACAAAACTGAGAACACAGAAGCAAAATAATGCACAATGGACACAAGTTAATGGCAAGGTAGCCATAGAAATCAGGTGGGGAATATGAACTATCCAAAAATGTGCTGGGACTATTGGATACCCATTTGCAAAAAATCAGAATTAAAATTAGACACTCTGCACAAAAATATATCCTAGGTAGACCAAAGACATAAGCAAACTTTCAAATTTGAAATGAAAACGTCAGAGAATATCTAACCTTGGTGTAGGGATGGATTTTAAATGAAAAACATAAAAAATACAAGCCATAGGAGAAAATGAGGATTAAATCAATTGTCTGTAAGCAAAGCTTCCATTCATAAAAAAATGAGAAGACAAAGATTGTGAGAGGTTTGTAAAGCATATAACTAATAAATATATTAAAGTATTTATTGAATATAAATGTTTAAATATATTTAAGCAAATATACTTATTTTAATTATATTTAATATATTAAAACTCCTTCAAAGCAATAAGCTTAAGACCAAAAACTTGATAGAAATTAACAAAGGGTATAGACAGATGTCTGACTCTTTGCGAATCCATAGACTGTAGCCCGCCAGGCTCCTCTGTCCGTGGGATTTCCCAGGTAGGGATACTGGAGTAGGTTGCCATTTCCTCCTCCAGGAGATCTTCCCGACTCAGGAATTGAACCTGTGTCTCCTGCAGCTCCTGCATTGGCAGGCAGATTCTTTACCACTGAGCCGCCTGGGAAGCACTATAGGCAGAAAGGTCACAGGAGAGGGACTGCGGGCTGACACTGAGCACGTGAACGAAGATCCACATCATCGGGGAGCTTCAAATTAAACCCACTGAGGCGCCAGCTCACACTCCCCAGTTGGCAGTGATGAACAGTTCTGACAGCTCCAAGTCCTGGTGAGAATGTGGAGATTAGAAACGCATATGGTCTGCTGGTGGTTGATACAACCACTTTGGAAAGTAATTTGGCATTTCTCATAATTTTAAATATTTCAGATTCTATAATTTAGCAATTCTAAGGGTCTTAGAAAAGACCCTGATGCTGGGAAAGATTGGGAGCAGGAGGAGAAGGGGACAACAGAGGACAAGATGGTTGGGTGGCATCACTAATTCAATGGACATGACTTTAGGGGGACTCCGGGAGATGGTGAAGGACAGGGAGGACTGTTGTGCTATGGTCCATGGGGTGGCAGAGAGTTGGACATGACTGAGTGACTGAAAAACAACAATTTAGCAATTCCATTTCTAGTATGTGTGGAAGGGAGACTAGTGCACAAGGAGAGATACTTAATATTTATAATGGTGCTGTTTGTGAAAGCACCATTGGAAAAATTGGAAAAATCCTGTATGTCCATCAATAGGAAAATGAACAAAACATTGGGTATATTCATAAAATATAACACAGTACACCAGTTAAAATGAATGAATCAGAGCTACATGCATGAACATGAATAAATCTCATAGACATAGCATGAGAATATGATACAATTTATATAACATTTAAAAATCTTTAAGACCAACTTGCATATATTTTTGGAAGTATGCATTCATAGAAAAATGCCTTTAAGGCATTAAAAACATACATAAGAATAATAAACTTCAAATAAGTGGTTAAATTTGGGTAGAGAGAGATGGAAAGGGTTAGGGACTGAGAATTCTTCACAAAACAGTGATATAAAGACAATATGGCAAAATAGTAAGAAGTGACCAAGTGACTATGCTTGAAATATTTCACATGTCAGTTAAAACTGTCATCAATATATATCATCGTATCTCCATCCATATCTATCTATCTATGCATCTATTATCCATCATCTATGTATGTTAGATTTTAAGATCTCTGCTGTTCTTTCTTAAGGACATACCATATTTCATAGACATACTACATAGTGATTTCCAGATTGTAGTTTATGTAAAGTTTGAATGCTTTATTTTTATTTATTTTTGTAAAGAGATATATATGTATGCTTTTATATTTTTTAATTGGAGTATAGCTACTTTACAACATTGCATTAGCTTCTGCTGTGAAATGAAGTGAATCGGCTATATATGTACATATATCCCCTCCCTCTTGGATCTCCCGCAGAGAGATGTCAATATACATACACCTGTAATCTGATTTACTTCATCAGCTGGGAATTCCGAAGGACACCATGAAAGAACAGAAGTGCACGGAAGTCTCTTCCTCTGAGCCTCAGACAGCCCTCCTCCCCCAGCCCTTCCATGCCAATCCCTCACACCTGAAAGTCTGAATAAAGAATGCTGTGAACATAAAAAACAGAATGACTGGATTGAGGAGGTATCTGTGATCTGAGTTTGAAGATATAAATTTATATAGATTGTCCAACAAGAGGACAGGGAGATTGCTGTGATGTCTTTTCCTCTGTACATGAGATTATCACATATTAGACTACACTAGTCCCTTGTTCTTTGATTTGAAGAAATGACTCTATGTAGCTTTA